TTTAATTAGAATGAATTAAGTTACATAGTTAGGTAACACAAACTGGCGTTAAAACAAACCCATGAAAACTTTAATAAATACTTTTTATCTAAACTTTCGAAATTCGCCTCTGAATTCAAAAGAGATAGAACCTCCACTAGTAAGATGGAACATATACAAAGACACACAATATGGTGCAAACTTGCAATGAACTGTCTTCATAAAGCTTAAACGAGGATAAACCTTATAAACAATATACGGTATTTCATCCGAACAATTTAATTTATTAAATGTAACTGTTATCTTTTAAATAAACTCTCTTACGTCAAATCGGCTGAATCGGGGAACATAGATTAAGTTTTTAGTGCAAGTACAAACAAAGGTACAAGATTAGAATCAAATATAGAATTTAAGCTAACAAAAACAAAATATCCAAAACAAGTCTACGTTATATTAGACCTATATTGAAAAAAAATGTAAACTTTTCAAAAATTCGGCCAAATTCGGCCAAATATAGTTTGGCCGTGACTTTCCAAATGCTACGGCCAGGCAAATTTTTATACGGCCAGATTTGAGGAATCTGGCCGTCAAAAAGGCCAAATGGCAACCCTGTTCTGGTTGAGTTGAGTTGATGAGTTCGTGCTGCAGCGCCACCAGCGAATGCCAAGAGTGAAGTGAAAAATGATGGCCGCTGGATCTTAATCTACTTTCCTCGCACTGAATTAGGCCTAGGGGTAAAGTGATCGATTTAAAAGGGGAACTTAGGCCTAGACCTGTACACAAAAATTGGAATTGGGTTTGATTGAAGTTTTTCCTTGATCTATTTAAATCTGTTAGTAGGATGAGACGAAGACAATCCTAATGAAATGAATAGCAGAAGTGACAGTTGCCACTCATGACTCGACATTGGAGGCCTAGGCCTAGTAGAGGGCCAGGCCTACCTACCTAGGGTAGGGGCCTAGGTAGGCCTAGCTAGGGAGGGGGCCTAGGCTAGCCTCAGAGTTTAGGGCCTAGGCCTGGATACCTAGGAATTGGTAGGCCTAGGCCTGCTGCTACTACAATCTAGCCTACTAGGGCTAGTACTACTACTATGCCGAGGCTACTGTTTATTGCGACCAATAATGACAATGCCTGGAATTACTAGGCTAGGGCCTACAGACGATTGTGCCCATTAATGACGATCAGGCCCAAGACGTTCGGGCCCATTTTTTCAGGACGATCGTTCTGAAAATAGGGCTGATAGTCTTGGTCAACTTGTGCCCAATCAACTTGGGGCCCGATCGTCGGACTAACAGGCAAATTTATTTCAGCCCATGGCGGACGTTTGTATTTGTTGATGTTTGATATACCGAAAAAAAATTAATTAAATACAGTAAAATAAATATATGATCATTTTTATTATGAATTCCTGTAAAGAACACTTTTCTGTGATCCCAAACTGTCTTTTATCTTTATTATTCTAAGAGTAAGCTACTAAAGACCATGTTATCCCTGGTCCCAAAAGTGGTCTTTAATTGGAGGGAGACTGTACTAATGCACACCATTTGGCTCACAGCAAGTACTAAGTACTATAGTAAATCAGCAATGTAAATTAATGTTTAGTTTACATGAACTGAAAGTGCAGTAAAATCTCTCAATATGTACCCCTATGTCCAGTATTGTTTGTAATTGAGAGTTTTTTGAAAATCAAAAAGTTGTTATGTACTAGGGCTAAACTTTGCCGCAGGAGTCGAGAGAAAGTCCCAAGGAATACATTTTTAGTCACTATTAAAACTTGATTACATTGAATTGATACCTTAGTTTAGTTTGCATGAACTGAAAGTTTGTACCCCTATGTCCTAATTAATAGTGTTTGACGGTAATTGAGAAAGTTGTTTTTAATTCAAAAAGTCGTTATGTGTTAGTAGGGCTAAACTTTACCACAGGAGCCAAGGGAGAGACCCAAGAAACATATTTTTAGTCATGATTTAAAAATTGATTACATTATTTTAGTATTATTTATTTATTTTATTTTTTAATTTGTTTAAATTTATTAATTTTTTAATTTTTTTGATTGTCAAACCTGTTTATTTTGTTCAAAAATTTAATTTAATGATGCCATTTCTGCAAATCAAGTTCATAAAATCATAAAATAGCGAGTTTGTAATTGAGAGAGTTAGTAGGTTGTGACCATCACTCCTTTGTTTTCCCATATATAGAAGTGTATTTTTTAAATATTTTTATTGATTAATTCCATAGTTTAACATGGATACATGCAATGAACCACCAGTCTCAGATTCTAATTCAACAACCAACACAAACATCTCAGAACGCTCCGAATTTGGGGTCCAGTTGAAAATCTTAAGGATTAATGATCAGATCAGGGAATTGCAAACAATTATACGTGACAAGTAAGTACATACCTCATACCATTTTCACTTTTTTTCTAAAGTGCAAAAAAAGCAAACATTTTTTTGTTCAACCATGTTCTAATCATGATATATAAAGCAATTAATCTTAAAACTTTGCATCTTCTTTTCTCTTTCTTAACAGACAGACCAGTAGAGGGGACTTTGTATTTTATGCAGACAGACTGGTAGGTGGATTAAGATATTTTTTTAATTTACAATTATTTTTTTT